ATGCTTTTTCAGTTATTTGTATGTGCGTATTAATTATTTACGTTATGTTCCTATGCGTTTCATATAAATGAACAAAAGACGATTATTCGTTCAACTCTACAGAGGGCGCATAGTTGAACCTCGGACCGCTTTTATCGAATCGAAATTCGTTAATACATTAAAGAGAGCGAGATTTCAGACAATGTCACAATGTTCTCATAACGAAGATTAAAGTAGTTTAGGAAAATAACGTACAATTGAACAATTAGTGAAGTGCAAAGAGACGATTGTGGACTCATCAGAAATGTAGCTGATGGGTCGTGCTTGACTCATCTAGTTTCTAGAGTCACATTCTCCACTCTACAATAGCCAGCACATCATCTTCAAACCACTTTTTTACTTTATGCAAGTTAAAGGTCACTTTCAGAGTTTAAAGATTGTTTCCTTATGTAGACTCTAATGAAAAAAGGGCCCGCGCACTTTCCTAAAGGTGGTGCGTTGCTAGGAGAATTTTATCCAAAATTACCCAGAACAACATGTAACCAGTCACAGAAATAGGTTTAATACTACCGAGTAACTACGGCATAATTTATGATTTCATTGTAGAACTCAGACTTCGGGCAGGGTCAAGCGTTGTCACACTTCCGATTTGCGACCCTGCACCTCCCGACCAGCCTTATACGATACCCGTTGCTTTATCTCAAGTTTAACAACTGATAGAAACCATAGAAACACAAGCATGGTATCTTTTTTCTCCAATGTTTGTGATTGTACGCAGAACATAAGAACATGTCTTTCTTCATGGCACGCAAAATATAGGAGCAGTCTATCCCAAAAGGCAGCTATTCTAGATAAGGATGCATGCGGCAGTGATTTTTCAAGTAAAAAAAAGCAGGATATAAGACTCCTATCTTTGTACAATCCTAATATAAATGCTCTCGTTGACGTCCAAGACGTAAAATTGAGCAGAAAGCAGCAGAAATCTCAAAAAATGATGATTAAATGGGTGCAAATACTTGTTTGTACTTTCTTTGTCCAGAAACGCAATTGAAAAAGGAAGTAGTGATTTTAGAGCTTTTTTTAAGCTAGTTGAGTATCTGTGTCATTACCCCTTCTCAGTTATGTCACACTTAACTGGAAGGGGAATGATACAACGGACAACTACTTTTTTATACTGAATTTGAATTAGCGGTTTTTTGTGATATGTAGATATAATCTAGGGCCTTATTTACCGCTATTTCAGCTAATTTTCTTAACTTTTGATGCTACAGCAATTATGAAAGTGAACGATTTCCGCTAAAAATTGTGCTTGTTTGAAAAGATAACTTGGTTTCAAAGCTTCTTTAAAGGATTCTGAGTATCATCAAAATCAGGAGAATTGAATTGCAGTAACAACTCTAATAATATTCCATTCACTGGAAGTATCTTAGAAGAATGGCGATATCTTCTCCTTCTCCCTTCCCGTATTTCTAATCAATCGAAATTCCACATTTTGCGTGCTAGCATTGTGGCTACCATCTTTTTTATAAATGGGATATCAGTAACGGATTGGTAGCTCACCTCAACAGTGATATAACCACATTGTTGGACAATTTTCGTTTTTGATCCCTCTTACGACCTCCTTCGCTCCCAGTGCTAATCCCTGATAACCTCCCCCTCCCCTATTGCGTCGCCACAAAGTGGCGCTTGTCCTTGCTTCGTGTATTTATTTTTGTGCACTTTACATAGCTAAGTTTTGCTCTCCGTACTGTGGAGAAAATGGGTAGAAAGAGCGGTGAGCAAGAAATTTAATTTTAAAAAATTTTGCTGTGATTTGAATAATACATCAAACAGAAAACTGCTCTGAATTTCTTGTCCAGCGCTCTGTCTCTCGTTTTCTACAGTGTACGGAGAGTAGACTTTATTTAAGAAGGGTATTGAATTCCGTCTCAGAAGGTTTATAAAAATAATTGACGTTTCGTGCATTTTGAGCGCGATAATTCAAAACAATTGAATTGAAATCTGATTACAACCTTTTCAAACCGCGCCATAAGAAGATGCCTTTTTCCTCTAGAGTTGCTTGTTTTCTTCAAATTCTACAAAGAGGCTTAAAAGTTGCATCACAATTGTTTTAAGAATTTAGATTTTGAAAAGCGATTGATGGAATGCAATCGGCTCAAGGTGTATCGTTTTTTGGCTCTTGCCATAGGCTCAATTTCTTTCTGTTCAATGTTCTCTAGCTGCATTAGTTTACCATTGCTTCTTTTCTTCGTCGACCGTGCACAGAATACAGTCATAATCGATATATCTAAATGCAAATCAGCTACGAGGCAGCTTATAATGGATATTGCTGCAATCAAGTCTAATTCACCAAGTGAGCATATTTTGAGTTTGGTCAAGTATGGGATTTTCAAAAACATATAAGATTTCTTGTTTCATCTGAGGTTTTCGACGTCCCCGATACTCCGATGAAGGCAAGGTTCTACCGATAACAACGAAATGCGGTAACTGCTGTGTACCCGGACCACAGGGGCCGCCCGGTGCTCCAGGAAGGCCCGGACGACCAGGAAAACCCGGTGCTAATGGCGTCAACGGCGATCCTGGCCGAGTGCTTATGGCTCCCTTTCTTTATGTGACCTCAGACTTCTGCCTCAAGTGTAGTTCTGGACCACCTGGTGAGAAAGTGAGTATTTTTCCCTTTGAGCATTCTCGTAACTTTGAGGATTAACCTGTCAGGGGCCGCCCGGACCTCCCGGTGATCCTGGAAATCCAGGAAAACGCGGTAGACGAGGCAACAGAGGTAAGCATGGGCTGAGAGGTGCGAAAGGCGTGTCAGGGATTTCCGGAGGACGAGGCAAGCCTGGCATAAAAGGATCCGCAGGTAAAATCTATGGTACCCTCAATTGTATTTGAAAAACGATTTTAGGTATATCGTGTAATGGACAAATGCAATTTGGGCCTCCAGGAGAAGCAGGAAAGCCTGGGCCAAGAGGGGCACAAGGACCGCCTGGAAAAGCGGGCATGGACGGAGATATAGGTGGTCTTTTTATATGAGACATTTTGACTGTCAATGATAGAAACACTATAAGGTGATGCTGGTCCTAAAGGTCTTCCCGGAAGAGATGGAAGACCGGGATCTCCGGGTAGACCAGGACTTCCAGGACTGCCAGGAAAGGAAGGCAAACCAGGCGAAAAAGGTATCTGCCCAAAATATTGCGCCCTAGACGGTGGCGTATTTTTCGAAGATGGAGAGCTCCAACGATGAACTTTCTACGTATTTCTGAGCTTGACAACTTCATGGCACTTCTTTATTAAATTTAATTAAATATTCATCTATCGTACAATGTGTCCTGTATCAGTATAATGAATGGATTGCTGATTTGAAAGCATGTAATAAAGCATTCTATTGGAAATAATTTACTCGTTTTAAGGTTTTTTCAGACTTCTCGAAAACCTGAAAGTTTTAAATTACACTAGCGCTGGTTATATTTTCAAAGGGTTTAAAGCCATCACAAATCTTACTCAAAAATGAATGGAAGGTGCGGATATTTTGACCGATCCGATTTCACTGGAACTGTTTTTGTATGCCATACGAGAACTTCCACATCCTCTTCCTGAAACCAACTGACTATTGTAGATTCACATTTAATGACCAAAAAAACCTGATTCGGATATCCGAACGGTTCTATATCCTTTCTGGAAAATCCGAGATCACTAAGAAAGCACGTTTCAGGTGAGTTTTGTCCTATTTTGCACACTGGGCCAAATTCAGCAGTTGACCTAAACAAAGGGATTTCAATTATCATTTTAAAATTAGCTATGAGACTCATTAACTCATATAGAAGTAACCCACTCCAGTATTTCATTCAAATTCACTGCAAATCCGGCCATGTCAATAGCGAAAGGTCGAGATGGTAACCAAGCTTCAAAACTAACTACCTTTCCATTTTCTACAACTTGATATTCGACTGGCTTACCACCGGATAAACCTGAATCGTTCTGAATAAATTTATTTGAAAGAAGCGAATATACAATTGCTGTTTGAAGCATAGGTTTTTGAAATAGACTATTATTAATAATGCTGACCAACAGGCCACATTCCTAGCCTTTTCACGTTTCGTATATACTCAGTGAATAGTCTAATGTCATAGGTGTTGTCATCATCCGCAAAATATACGATACCACTTTTATAATGCTGTAGCAAAGTGGCCGATTGTTTTCTCAAAAATCGCAACGCCGTCGTCCGTTGGAACCAGCCACGACCTATAACAATTCTGGATTTTATATGAACCCCCTCGCATCAGCGCAACTAATTACCTTGCAGTTCTTCACGATAAAGTAAGCCTTTGCCAAATGCCAAAAAGTAGTCCAAAAAACCTATGCGTTTCTTAGTATTTATGGTTCCTTCAATAATTGAAATTATTCGTGTGATAAAGAGGCTAAGGCCAACGAGCAAAAATGATAATGGTTTTGACGCAAAAACGTTTCCGTTTCGTACGAGTGTTTGATGGAAAACATGATATCCTAAAAATGTTCCGTTTGATCTTTAAAACTTCTTTCATCAAAAACTCCTTTAGTTCCATTTTTTGCCATTTTCACATTAGGAGGAGCTTCTTGAACTTAAATATAGTCACACATAGATTTCGTAAGATTAACCAAAAAAGCAATTGTGAACTTCTGACTATTATGCTAGCACTGAGGAGCGAATGTGGTGGGTTCGATGTTGCTTTTGAGTGCTTCCGTAACTTTTCTGTTAAATTATTGTGTTTATGACATTATATTAATTGCCTAAAAAGCCTGCGAAAGGCTAAAAGCACGAAAGTTTGTTTTTAGAATTTCTCAGAAGTATTCAGAAGTAAGAAGTAGGGCCAATGCTAACAACTTTACACCAATCCCGAAGTCTGCAACCTTAACGTAACCTAACCTTATACTAATAGCCAAAGTAGGAGGACCGTTTACAAATGGAAACCTAGGTTCAGGCCAGCTTTTTAATCAACACTGAACACTTTTTATAATGTGACGTCCCATATTATATATA